ACACTGTGAAAGTTCAATAAGCATCTTTTTTTTTTTTTTTTAAGGTGCAGGCAATGGAACCCAGGGCCTCAGCTACGCAGTTCTGAAAGCATTTTTTCAATGTAATACTTTTTAGCTGTAACAAATGTACATTATACACTTCCGTTCTTTGGCACCAATAAGATTCTTTTATTTTTTAGTGTCAGAATCAAACCCAGGGCCTCACACATGCCAAGCCAATGCTCTACCACTGAGTCACGTCCCTAGACCTACCTACATTGGTTAGAATGAATCAGATTAGTGTGAAAATCTCTTCTAGATTTGCTAATGCATTTCATTCATTCATTCTTTCTTTCTTTCTTTTTTTGATTCTGGGGACTGAACTCAGGGGCACTTAACCACTGAGTCACATCCTTACCCCTTTTTATTTTGAGACAGGGTCTGGCTAAATTGTTTAGGCTTTACTAAATTGCTGAGGCTGTCCTTAAACTTTATTTTTTAAAAATATTTTTTAGTTGTCAATGGACCTTTATTTTTTATTTCTTTACACACAGTGCTGAAAATTGAACCCAGTGCATAATATATGCTCAGCAAATGCTCTACCATTGAGCCACAACCTCAGCCTGCTTGAACTTTTGTTTTGGCCTCGCAAATCCCTGGGATTACAGGTTTTTTAAACCATATCCAGTCTACTAATGCATTTTAGAAGTGTTTCCTATCTGGCCCCATGACACATGGAAGTAATCTCAGTGATTTGGGAGGCTGAGGCAGGAGGATCACAAGTTTAAGACCAATCTTAGCAATTTAATGAGACCCTCTGTTTCAAAATAAAAAATATAAAGTGCTGGGGATGTAGGTCAAGTGGTAAAATACCCATGGGTTCAATCCTCAGTACCAATAAATAAACAAATAAATAAAATTTTCCCCCTAAATTTACTGGGCACAGTAGCAGTATTTCTAATTCCAGTCTCAAGAGGTGGAAGCAGGTGGATCAAAAGTTCAAGGACAACATCAGCAATTTAGCAAGACCTCAGCAATTTAGCGGAAACCCTGTCTCAAAATAAAAAGGACTGGGGATGTAGTTCAATTGCCACTGGATTCACTCCCCAGTTTTGAAATCAAAGCAAAAAACAAAACAAAACAAAAAAACTCCCTAATTTTGCAAATGCTTTTGCAAGTATAAATTCAAACTTAAATCAAACTCATTACATTAAGAAAAAAAGTCATTTATTTGTTTTGGCACTAGGGATTGAACCCAAGGCCTTGTGCATGCTGTGTGTCCTCTACCACTGAGCTACACCCCTAAACCCTTATTACATTTCAAAATAATCTGCAAAGTATGAAGAGGTTGTGTTGTATATTAGTATAAAAATGCTGAAAGAGTATAATTTATTTAAGGTTTCAAAAAGACACTGAGATACTCAAGCCAAGTTTATGACCTTCTAAGAAATCTATTTATGAAATAAAAAAAAAAGAAAGAAATGTATTTACTGTTTACAAAGTCCCTGAAGGTTTTTTCTGTTTTCTTTTTGTTAGTGTGGTTCAATTAAACTCAACCTGGTAGGAAATATTGTTTAACAAAAGTTCCTTAGACACGTACACTGAATGTTATTTATTGCTGCACTTGACTGATATCTAGCCTGGCATTGTGCTAATTGGCAACAAATAACAGTGTCCATTCCTTTGCAGGCTCTTGCGCTGCCAAAGCACGGAGGCCATTTACAACTAGCTGCCTAGGAAGAGCAAGGGCACAACAGCAAACACATTGACAAATTACTTGAAAACAATTTGGAATTAAAATTTAAATGCATCCTTTGCATTTAAACCCACCTAGAGTGGGTTTTCATGATGTTTGTTGACCTAAGAACTTTATGAAGTTTGGAAAACTAGTAACTGAACTTTAATGCATGAAATCCACACCTAAAAAGAGCAGATCAGGACTCCATAGAAGTCTAAAAATACTCTCTGATGCCTTTGGACCTTGATTCTATTACAATATTCTTCTTAGGTTGCCAAATTAAGAATTATTGCTAATGCAGACTAATGTGTGAGGGAGATTTGGTGTCGTCGTTCCGTTTGTTGACCCATGAACCACAAGGAATATTTAATATCTTATGTAAAACTTATCATATTTCTGCTTCCTTTCTGCTGAATGAGAAAACCTATTTATAGACTACATAACATGAAAGGCATGGCAGAGTTTTCTTTCAGGCAATAAAAATGTAATGCAAGCCTTCCCTTGTAAAGAAAAACAAATGGCTTGACAAGTGATTCTGTAACTGTTTAAAACAGGATCACTTATGAAAACAGATCTTTTAGTCTTCTACTGGGTTGGGAAAATGAGCAACACCTTAGTGGTTGTTATTCCTCACAATTATCACACAGATGTGTTTCCCTGAGTAATGGAAGCACAAGACTGGAAAGGTGGATTCTAACATTGAATAAATGGTTACTGATAGCCACATGTGTGAGCAGATGGAAGAAAGGAAGGATGGAAGGAGGGAGGAAGGGAGGGCATAAAGGAAAGAGAGGGAGAGAGACAGAGAGAAAAAGGAATCAAGGAAAAAAGAAAGGAAGAGCCATAAGGAAAAATTGAAATTATGGCATCTGCAGGAAAATGGATGGAACTTGAGATCATTATGTTAAGTGAAATAAGTTAAACTCAGAAGGTCAAGGGTCATATGTTTTTTTCTCATATGTGGAAGGTAGAGAGGAAAAAGGAAAAGAAAGGTAGGGAGAAGGAAATCTCATGAAAATCAAAGGGAGAGCAGTAGAAGGAAGGGACCAGGGGGGTAGAAGAAGAGAAGGAAGTGGGGGATGCTGGGGAGTGGATATTGACCAAATTATATTGTTATATTGTATGCATGTACGAGTGTGGAATCACAGATTCCATCATTGCAGATAATTATAATGGATCCAAAAAAATGTGGATAGAGAAACAAATTTTTAAAAAGGCGGGAAGGAAAAATAAACTTCACCTGAAACCATCTTGCATTCTCAATTAGATTGGTCATCCTGTATATTTGTCTTTTGCAGTTCCATTTTGAGACATGAGACATTTATGAAGGGCATTTTTAAGATAATATCTATGTAGGCAGTGATCTATCTGTTCAATTGGTATCTTATTATTGGGGAATTGTTAGACAATTCTCTATATGTAATTAAAGTAAGCAATCATATACAGAGACTAGCTGAGAAAACTTTTGTTGTGCTAAGCATATACTCTTTTGACTTACTTTTAAAAATTTTATAGAAAGATGTGACTAAAGGAATGTTTATTATTCATCCAGTATTTTTATTAAAAGCTAAAAACTGGAAGGAATCTAAATGTCCATTAATAGATAGGATCTAATACATTTTATGCACTTTACTACTGAATGTTATACAGTTGTTAAAATGAGCTTTATAGCCAGGTGTGATGGTACATCCCAGTGACTCAGGGCTGAGAAAGGAGGATCAAGTTTGAAGCCGGCCTCAGAAAGTTAACAAGGCCCTCAGCAACTTGGTGAAACCCTTTCTCAAAAAACAAAAGGAGCTGGAGATATAGTTCAGCAGTAAAACACCATGGATTAAATCCTGAGAACTACTACTTCCAATAATAATGATAATAGTAATTGTCATAATGATAAAGATTAGTTGTCTTTTTTAAAAAATGAGCTCTGTGAAGACTTAGAAAAACTTCAAAACAAATTTATAAACTAAAAGTGGGAGTCACAGAACAGTAGGTATACAATCATTGACTTAGTAACATTGTAAAGTTATAGTGTATGTGTATGCAAATACATACAAAAAGGAAAAGAACTTTTAGGATGTTTTGTAATATAATATGTATTCATGAGTTACTTACTAACTCGAAAATAGCAGTTACATTTGGGTTCAAATTGGTTCATGGTGTGTTTAGTTTGCTTCTGGGTACAAAATCATTGCTCTTTTTTCGAGTTGTTTTGTTTCTTGTTAGTTTTAAGGCAGATACATTACAGTTACTACCTTAACCATATGAGCATTCCATCTAATTTTTTTTTTTAATTTCCAGAAAATAAAATCTATAAATCTCTGAAAAAAACTCACTTAGGGAGGTTTAAAGAGAAGAATCTGAGAATTCTGTCCTTGGTTTTGGGATAAGTTTCTCAATACATTTATTTTACATTTTGCAGTGCTGGGAATTGAACTCTGGCCCTTGTACATACTAAGCCAGTATTTACCACTGAGCCAAACCCACAGCCCTTAGTATTTTTAAGAATAATTCCTTATTACTATCTTTATTCCTAATCCATCAATTCTGTAGGTTTCTGAACATTCTTATGCAGGAAGCTTTTCTCTGAGGCTGTGAAAACACTAAACTTCACCTTCTTAACCAGGACCACTGAAATTTTTTAAAGAGGAATCAAGCACAAAATTAGCAACTCTCCCCCCATACAGTAAGCAGGATACCAGGAAGAGAAAAATAGAATTTAAGCATCAATTAATTATAATTTTTGTGGGGAGGGTGTTATGGGGATTGAATCTAGAGGGCTTTAGCTACTGAGCCACATCCCTAGCTCTTTTTATTTCAAGACAGGGTCTCACTAAATTGCTTAGGGTCTCCACTTACTGAGGCTGGCTTTGAACTTGCCATCCTTCTGTCTCAGCTTCTAGAAACATGGGATTATAGGCCTATGCCACCATACCCCGCAGTTACATAGACTTGAACTATCAGTGCACTTAGCTGCAGATAACCTAAAACTATGACTCGATTGACTTTAACAATACAGAAAATGCATAATTTCATGTAGCAAGAATTTTTTCCAAGAGGATTCTCTGGGAAGGTGACGGGGCTCTAACAGAGATTCTGAGAAGTCATCTTTTCATTTCTAGCAGTAGCTAAATAGTGGATCCAGAGCTATAACAGAAGGCAAGACCCATGTCATGAGGGTTGCCGTTGGAAGGTTCCAGCAGGATGGTCTCCAAAGAATCCGTGAAACCATCTTTAAAAAATGACTCAGCTTTACACATCTGCCAAAACCAGAGAGTGCAAAGCCATCTTAAAATAGTATCAGTCAGAAGAACTTTCTGCTTCCCTTTTCTCTCCTGCCTCTAGTGCTCCAACAAAGAGGGGTCAGCAACAGCAGCTGAGAATGTGAGAGGAGTGAACAAACATGAAAGAAGCAGCTCACCACATTGTGTTTTGCCAAGTCCGGTGGCCTGCCCACAGTTACGACCTAACTGCGGAAAGTAGTGAGTGTGTGTGTGTGGGAATCCTGTTTTTAATGAAAGCTGAAATGTTGATTAACATCACTGTCTGGGCTTTGGAGTTTCATCTTCTAGTCTGTGCAATGTGATTTAAAACAGCAATTTAACTTTTTATTTCCTAAGCATGAGGAGGACAGTTAAAGGAGAGCCTAGGTTATTTTCCAAGGACCTTGGAAGAGGTTTCTTTATTAAATATATTAAATATTAAAATATATTAAATATATTTTTCTGAGGGAGAAAGGAAAATAATTATCTCTTAAGTTCTCTGATTAGGCTCCCTCCCTATTTGCCTCTGTGCACAAGCAGTTAAACATGTGCAGTCACCTCTATTCTATTTTTTTTCACAGCCCTTTTTTTGTGTTTTATTTTACTTTATTTTAAAAATTATTTTTAAAATTTATATATGAAAGCAGAATGCATTACAATTCTTATTACACATCTAGAGCACAATTTTTCATATCTCTGGTTGTATACAAAGTATATTCACACCAATTCGTGTCTTCATACATGTACTTTGGATAATAATGTCCATCATATTCCACCATCATTGCTAACCCCATGCCCCCTCCCCTTCCTCCTCTATTCTTAAAAAAAAGAAAAAAAAAGAAAAAAAAAAGAAAGAAAGAAAGAAAAAAGAATCCTCCTCAGAACTGGGTGTAGTGGTACATGCTTGTAATCCCAGCAATTTGGGAGACTGAGGCAGAAGGATTGCAAGTGAGAGGGCAGCCTCAGCAATTTACTGGCCCTAAGCAACTTAGTGAGACCCTGTTTCAAAATAAAAAATAAAAAGAGCTGAGGATGTGGTCCAGTGGTAAAGCACCCTGGGTTCAATTCCCAGTAGCAACACCACCACCACCATCATCATTATCAAATATAAAACCTCTTCCTCTCCCAGTTCTGATCTAGTTATATTGATATAGTCCCCCTGCCTTTTTTTTCTTTTGAGAGCAGATTTTTTTTCCCCATTTTTTTTATCAGTGCATTGTAATTGTACATATTGATGGGATTTGTTGTTATCCCGCCACTGAGAGTGGTTCAGGAATCAAACCCAGGGTCTCTGGCATTGTAGGCTTGTGACCTGCCACTGAGCTATACCCCAGCCCTTCTTCCTCTTTAGGGTCAAATTTACAGAAAAATAATTGGCTGTGTGTCAGAGGTCTGTCAGGTCAGTTCCAGAACACTGAATTCCTGATCTCAGCAGCAGGCACATGATTCTGACACCGCAAAACACAGTGGCCAATATCTATGAACAGCAACTGGTCTAAGGAATGCGCCTATGGCACATGCAGTGACAATTAGAATACTTACTTCAGATTGCTACTCAGAGTTTGGAAGGACTGCTGTGAAACCCAGTTTCTGGTCCTATTACCACAATGAACACACTCTTGTAAGATTTATAATTTCTAATATTTGTTACTATAAACTACATCATACTACAACTTAGTGAGGCCCTTAGCAACTTAGTGAGACCCTATGTGGAAATATAAAATAGAAAGAACTGGGACTATATAGCTCAGTGAAAAAGCACCCCTGGGTTCAATCCACAGTGAAAAAAAAACAAACAAACCCCAAAAACAAAAAAACAAATCAAAATCAAATCAAGGGGTCTGGATTGTTGCTCAGTAGTAGAGTGCTTGCCTAGCAGGCATGAGGCACTGGGTTCGATCTCCAAGCAAAACGTGAAAATACATAAATAAAATAAAGGTATTATATTCATCTACAACTAAAAAATATTAAAACAAACAAACAGATTTAGCTAGACACAGTGGTTCATGCCTGTAATCCCAGAGACTTGGGAGATAGAGGCCAGAGAATCACAAGTTCAAGACCAGTCTCAGCAACTTAGTAAGACTGTGTCTCAAAAGCTAAATAAAAAGAGCTGTGATGTATCTCAGAGATAGAACGTCCCTGGGTTTGATCCCCAATACTAAAACAAAACAAAACAAAACAGCAGCAGCACTACCACCAAGGTTTATTGAGATATAATTCACATGTATCATGTAGTTCACTTATTTAAAGCCGTGTGACATTCAATGTGCTTTACTCTATTCATGGTTATGCAAACATCACTGCAATAAATTGTAAAACATTTTTGTCACCCCCAAAATGTATTCCATGCCTACTTGTAGTAATTTCCCATGCCACCTCCAGTCTCATCTTTTTGTTATTGAATTTTAACTATTCTTTATCCATTCTGATTACTAGATCTTTATCAGGTATATAACCTACAAGTATTTTTCTTACTCTGTAGGTTGTCTGTTCATTTTCTTAATAGTGTTCTTTGATGCATAAATGATAATGATGATGATGATGATTTTGCAGTGCTGGGGATCGAACCCAAGGCCTCCCACATGCTGGGCAAGCTATCTACCACTAAGCTACATCCCCAGCCTCATGTTTTCTATTTTGATGGTATAATTTGTCAAATTTTTCTTTGGTTGCCTGTGTTTTTAGTGTTGTATATGAGAAATCATCAAGCAAACCAATCTGAAGAAAAATTAATAAAAATCAAGGTAAAGATTTTACTTCTATATTTTATTCTAACAATTTTATAGCCTTTTAAGGTTTTACATTTATACCCATGATACATTTCATGTTAAGCTTTGTAAGTGATGTGGGGTTGGTGTCTATATTCCTTCTAGTACCAAATGGTCTCAGTACCATTTGTAACTATTTGTTATTTTACTCATTGAATTTTACTCCAAATCTCTTGACAATCTGTTAAAAAGTCAGCTGACTATAAATGTAGGAATATTTTTGTAACGTCAATTCAAGTGGGCTGTTCTGTATGCCTGTCTTTGTTCCATTAACCACACTGTCTTTATTACCTTAGCTTTGCTGTACTAAGGACGAATCCCAGAGGCTCCACTCACCCATTGAGCTACAATCCTAGTGCCCTCACCTTTTCTTTTAAGATAGGGTCTCACTAAGATGTCCAGGCTGGCTTCAAACTTGAGATCCTCTTGTCTCATCCCTCAGAGTAGCTGGGATTACAGGTGTGTGCCACCATTCCTGGCTTTTATTACCTTAGTTTATAGTAAATTTCAAAAGCTGCAGGGATGAACCTTCAATTTTGTTCTTTTTTTTTTAAACTAAGACTGCTTGTTTATTTTAGGTTACTTGAATTTCCATATTACTTTTAAGATCAGTTTGTCCTAATGTCATGTGTAGCTAATAAAAAAAATTTTAAAAAAGCAATACAAAAAAAAAGATCAGTTTGCCAATTTCTATAACAACTCCAGTTGAAAATTTGATAGGGATTGTGTTGAATCTAGATTAATTAGGGGAATACTGCCACCCTAATTATACTGTCTTTCAATCTATGAACATAAGATGTGTTTCCATTTACTTAGATCATCTTAATCTCTTTCAATAATGTTTTATAATTTTCAGTATCTGTGTTTTAGACTTTTCTTATTATATTTACTCCTTAGTATTTTACTCCTTTTTTAAATATTTATTTTTTAAGTTGTGGTTGGACACAATATCTTTATTTTATTTATTTTTACGCAGTGCTGAGCATCGAACCCATGGCCTTGTACTTACTAGGCGAGCGCTACCGCTGAGCTACAACCCCAGCCCAGTATTTTATTCCTTTTGATGTAATTATAAATGAAATTGTCTTTATCTTTGTTTCAGATTATTCATTGCTAGGATATAGATACATAATTAAATGCACTTTTTACTTACTTTTCTTTTTTTTTTTTTTTGGTAACAGAGGTTGAACCCAGGGGCATTTTACCACTGAGCTACATACCTAGCCCTTCGTACTATTTTTTATTTTTGAGACAGGGTCTTGTTAAATTGCTGAGACTGGCCTGGAATTTACAGTCCTCCTGCCTCAGCCTTCCAAGGAATTGGGTGCCACTGTGCCCATCCCAACTTACTATATTTTCAATTTACAATGAGTTTATGGGGATATATCCCCATCCTAAGTTGAGAAGCATCTGTAATGATCTTGTATCTTGCAATTGTGCTGAACTTATTTGTTGGTACTTGTAGATTTTTAGTGGAATCCTTTGGATTTTCTACATACAAGATTGTATCATCACTGGGTATGGTGGCTCATGTCTGTAATTCCAGTGGCTGGGGAGGCTGGGGACGGAAGATCCCAAATTCAAAGCCAGCCTCAGCAATTCAGCGAGGTCCTAAGCAACTTAACAAGACTCTGTCTCAAAATCTCAAGATAAATAAAAAAGGGCTGGGGATGTTACTTAGTGGTTGAGCACCCGTGAATTCAATCCCTGGTACAGAAAAAAGATAATATCAAATAGAGGTAGTTTTGCTTCTTTCTTCTCAATCTGGATAACTCTTATTCCCCCCCCCCTTTTTTTTTTTTTTGCCTAATTGCCCTGATCAGGCCTTTGGTTTGATGTTGAATGAAAGTGATAAAAACAGATATACTATCACTTTTTTTATTTTTTGGTACTTAGTGCGTTTAACCACTGAGCCATATCCCCAGCCCTTTTTGTTTTTTTTTATTTTGAGACAGGTTCTCACTAAATTGCTGAGGGCCTCCCTAAATTGCTGAGGCTGGCTTTGAAATTGCATCCTCCTGCCTTAGTCTCCTGAGTCATTGGGAATACCGGCATACAAGACTGCACCCAGCTGTCACTCTCAATCTTAGGGCAAAGTATACAGTCTTTCACCATCAATTGTCAGCTGTGGGGATTTTTGTAGATGCCGTTTATCTGACTGAATAAGTTTCCTTCTGTACCTAATTTGTTAAGTGATTTTATCATGAAAGGGCATTTGATTTTGGCAAATTTTTTCTGAATCTCTTGAAATAATCATGTGGACTTTATTCTTTATTCTTTATTCAGTATGTAAGTATTTTGAATTTGATATATAACACTAAATTATCTTTAAAAATTGTAACAAATTATATTCTGAAGAGAAATTATAAAATTTTTATTTGCTCATTACCAGCAATGGTTATTACTGATCTCATTTTTCTTTTATGGTGCTGGAGATTGAATCCACAGCCTTATGCATGTAATGCAAGCAGTCTACAAACTGAGCTATATCCCCAGCCCAGCAATGGTTATTATTAAATACTTCTTAATTTATCAGTTGAAAACTACTTATTGTTTTACTTTTAACCACTGGACTACATCCCCAGCATTTTTTATTTTTTATTTTGAGACAGGGTCTCACTAAATTGATTATGGCCTTGCTACATTGCTAAGGCTGGCCTGGAACTTGCTATCTTCCTACCTTAGCCTTCCGAGTTGCTGGGATTATAAGTGTATTCCACTGCATTCCTATCAGAAATGGAACTCAGGGGAGCTTAGTCACTAAGACACCCCTTTTTTATTATTTTATTTTGAAACTGGGTTTCGCTATGTGCTTAGGGCCTTGCTAAATTGTTGAGGTTGGCTTTGAACTGGAGATTCTCCTGCCTTAGGATTACAGACATGTGCCAAGGTGCACAGCTTAATATTTTTTTATTTATAGATATTCATAATTTTTTCTTGTTAATTGCATAATTTCATAATTTCACTTTAACCTTGTTTGTAATTTTTTGTTAATTTGTAAAAATTTTTATAAATTATAGCTATTTACTCCATGCCATTTATGACAATTACAGATACTATGTCAAAGAACATAAAAAGGTATTCTGGAGGCTGAGGCTATAGCTCACTGGTAAAGTGCTTGCCTCGCATGTGTGAGACAGACACTGGGTTGGATCCTCAGCATCACTTAAAAATAAATAAAGATATTGTGTGTCCATCTACTACTAAAAACATCTTTAAAAAAATTTTAAAAACAGTATTCTAGAGAATACAAGAAATCATTCACTTTGCCTCACATGGCGTCAAAATTACTTTCTTCTTAAGATCTTAGTTAAAAGTATATAAAACTCAGTAACTTCTTGTATTTAGACCTTAAAAAATGTCAGATATTTTCCATAACATCTTTGACACATTTAAAATTATATTCTCAGATTCTACTGATGCCTTTTTTTTGCTAAAGAACTGATCATAAAGGAACTAAAAATTTCTGGGTGTTCAAACTGTCATTATGACTATGCCTTATAATTTTCCATGCTTGCTTTTGGTCGCTTTCAATTATATGCTCACCTGTGTTTGCCTACTGAGCAGAACTGCCATTTCTGGGAATGTTTTGGTAGTTTGTGTCTCTCAAGGTTTTAATATTTCATTAGAGTTGTAGAATTTAGCAGCACATACTTTGTATGATTTCCATTCATTTAAATTTTTAAGTTTTGGCTTTTGAACCAGGAAATATGGCTAATTTCATCAACATTTTGGGTGCACTAAGGAGAGTGTATTTTATTGCTGTTGGGTGGATTGTTCTATAAATGACAATTGGTCAAATTGGTTACTACTGCTGGGTGTTGTGGTACATGCCTACAAGCCCAGAAGCTCAAGAAGCTGAGGCAGGAGAATCATAAGTTCAAAGTCAGACTCAGCAATTTAGGGAGGCCCCAAGCAACTTAGTGAGACCCTGTCTCAAAAAATAGAAAGGGATAGGTATGTGGCTCAGTGATTAAGTGTCCTGTTACCAAAATTAAATAAATAAATAGATAGATAATTGGTTAATACTATTGCTCAATCTTCTATACCTTTGTTTGTTTTCGTATTGGGGTTGAATCCAGGAACACTTTACCAATGAGCCACATTCCCAACCCTTTTTATTTTTGATTTTGAAACAGGGTCTCACAAAGTTGCTCGTTTTGAATTTTCAATCCTTCTGCCTTAGCCTCCCAAACTAGGATTGCAGTGTGTGTACCACCATGCTAGCATGTCTTCTATAACTTTATGGATTTTATCTCTTCTTCTATCAATTATTGAGAGAGGGGAATTGAAATCTCTGACATTAATGGTTGACATCTCTAGATCTCCTTTAAGTTCATTAATTTTTGCTTCATGTATACTAATGCACTATTATTAGATATGTAAATGTTTAGGATTATTATATCCTCTTGATGAATTGACTCATTTATCATTCTAAAATTATCCCCTCAATCCCTGAAAACATTCTTTGCTCTGAAATCTGCTTGTCTTATATTAATTAAAGTCTGTATAGCTTTTTGTTGTTGTTGTTGTTTTCTGATATTGGGGATTGAACCCAGAGGTGTTTTACCACTAAGCCATATCCCCAGCCCTTTAAATTTTTTTTTTTACACAATACCTTTAATTAATTAATTTTTATGTGATTCTGGGGATCGAACCCAGTGCCTCAGCTGTGCTAGGCAAGTGCTCTACCACTGAGCCACAGCTTGTCACAACACCAGCTCCCCCCCTACCCCTTTTAAATGGTGTTTTTAGATTATCTACAATTGTTTTGAGTATTGAAACATTTGGGCTTAAATAAATCACATTGCTCTTCATTTTCTGTTTTTGCTAACTTTTTTTTTCTAGTTTACTTTTCCTATTTTGGATTATTAAATACTGTTATTCAGTTTTGTCTCTCTTGTTGGTTTATTAACTATAATTCTTTTTATTTTTGGTAGTTTATTTTTTTGCTTTGAGATTTATAATACACATCT